GATGCACCTAAGCAGTTTGCCCTATTGAGGTCTTCCTTAGCTCCTGTTAAAATGGTGCCTCATGTCATGAACACTCAGGACCAGCTAATCCAAAGAAGAGCAGATTAAATTTTAGTTCTTCTATTCTTAAAATACATTTTAGTTTTTCTATTCTTAAAAGACAATAAAATAAGGCAAGAAAACAATGATGCATGCTTCTCTCTTATCAGTAAAGCCAGTTTCTCCTCCACAATGCCACCCACTCTGCATGAGCATTTGACTTTCTTACAAAATTTGTCATTGTCCAAGGTCTATCCCTGCAGCTACAAATACAACTTCAAGTATTACATCTTTCCCTTTGATTCGAAAGCAGAAACATGGCTCTTCGATGTAACCATAAACTGCCCACATATAACACAGTGTTTCAATAAACACTAAGTGATACAAGATGCTCCGTTTTAATATAATGCCTTACTTAACGAAGCCCATCACTAAACAAAGCAAGTGAGGAAAATCTGGTACAAAACAATAACTTTGCTTTCCCCAAAGTTATTGTGAGGTGAATGTCTTGTGAGGTGAATGCCTTTGGAAAGTCTTTGAATGGTTAGGAACTGAACTAATGAAATGAATTTTAACAGTAAACTTTAAATGTTTTCTGGTGTTGAAGTTGGCAAACATCTTAGCATTGCCTATCAAGAAAATTCACCCTGAATTGCTTTCTAGTAGAGTGGTACATACAGATTTTTGTTGCTGTTGTTTTAGAAAAAAATAAATCAAATGCTTATTTCTTCCACAAGTGTTAGTGAGGAGCTCTTTAGGATTTTTATTTGCTAAATACATATATGGGTTCCTTTAACTGAAACTAGGCATATTTCTAAGATATCATAGTTACTCTGAGAGAACATGAACATTTTGTCTTTTATTCTTTTAATTATTAATTCTCCATCTAGCTGTGTAGTACCTATTAAATGCAAGTCCTTAGGGACATCCTTAAAGAGCTCATAATAAATAAGTGATCCTGATTGATTAGAAAAAAACAGTACTCAGAACCACAGGTCATGCTAAGTTATGGGATATGGTAGTGAAGAAGACTAACAATAGACCTGGCACATGGCAGAACCATATGTTCTCCTTGTCTCTTGTCTTGACTTCTTTCTGTAATTGCCTACTACTATGGTCCTCTTGTCCCAGCCACATGGTCCAAGAATTAAAGCAGAGATTAATGAGAATTTACTGTGCCATAATAGTTTTTAAATATTTCTATTTTCTATCCCCACCATTGAATTCTTCCCTTCAGTAGCCATCATTTAAGTTCTAGTTTCACTCATTATAGACCTACATTCCCTTACAACTTCTAAGTTTTACATACAGTGGTTACAATCACGTTTGCCATTACTTTGACCACACTATTGTATTTTCACACTTCCCAGTGTATATTCTCAGACTCTGAATTACAAATGTTTACCCCATTTTTCCACTTAAAATGGAATACCATAGTAAAGCTACTTGCATATTTGTTTTATTCTACTTATCTTCCATACTGAATAGATGCTGAGCTCTTTAAAGTCATGTAGCATGAGGTAGTCCACATATTAGATGCTCAATAAATAATGTATGAAATATATAACTGGAAGTCTTGTTATAGATCATCTAGTCTGAGTTTCCTGTATCACAGATGAGAAAACTTCTGCCTAGAGAAGTTTAATGCGTTAATGATTGTACGATTTGGCAATTGGAGCTAGAATCTACATCTTCTGACTTCTGATCCAGGGCTCTTTCTATGTAAACATAGTACCTCAAACATAAGCTTCAGACATGCCTTAAAAGTGTAGCATCCTTGACCTCACTAGACCTACTCACCTTGATCTAGCCTAGACTCTAGCCTGGCTAAACATCTTGTTTAGGCACTTTTCAGTCATTTTTTCATTTGTCCATTATTCAGCAAATAGATAACCACCGCTTTCTATTCACATTGTACCAAATGCTGAATACACAGAATAATGCAAAATATGTGGTTTCTTTTCTTAATGAATTTTGAATCTATATGGGGGACACTGGTAATAATCTAGTAAATAAATACATAATCACAAACAGGGTTACATGCTGTGAAAGACACAAGCATGAAGTGATAGAGAAAGGCAGAGGAAGTGGGGAAAACTATGGGATGGTCCAGAAGGACTGAGAAATAACAGTTAAGTCAAGAACAAAAGGATCAAAGAGAAGTCAGTTTCATTCTTCTCTCTTGGCTACAAGCCTTGGTCCAAGCTATCACATATGCATGAAACGATTTCCAATCCATCATGCCATGCTGCATCCTACTTCTCACTCAATTTGTAGTCTAAAATCAACTTTTTTTTCTAATGAAATCCCCTAATTAATTCCATCATCAAAACTTCTGGTAGAATTTCTCTCCTTAAATTTCAAATTCTGGCCAATTCTCTCCTCCCATCAGTCAACTGGTTAATTGCTAATAATATACTTCCATAGGTTACACAATTATCTGTCAAACTCCCTGAGGGTATGGGGGCTTATTATTTGGTATTTATTCCAAATACCCACTAAGGAACTGAGCAGATACTTTAGAGTCACCAAGGATCTCAATCCTACATGTCACTTTAGCTTTTTTTTTTTTTTTTTTTTGCCATGGCTATGATTTACTCACAGAAATCCTTGTATTTATAAGACCAATGATATCACAAGCATTCACTAGTTATTTCTCGATTCTAGGAGGAACTTTCATTCATTCAGCTGTCAAACATTCAGTGACTAAATGACAAGCAGTGAGCTAGACACTACAGTTACATGAAGATGATTAAGACACAGCTCATTTCTAATCAGTGAAGATAACACATAAACCTAATTAGAGCTCAGTGGTTCAGTGTGATGACTAATAATAGAGATTTGTTGAGATGCTGTAGAAACAGCTGTATCAGGAGAGGGTAAAGCAGGTCAAAGAAGGCTTCACTGAAGTGAGTCTTGAATGATTGACTGGCAGTCCCAGAAGATGACCAAAAGGACATTAGAATGTAATTGCATGTAACACCATGCTAAACACTGTATGAAACAAGTTAAGTGGGTGTGACCTGTGGCCTTCAGAAAGTTCATATCAAAGAAGAAAATTATGCAGATTCAAGATTCAGGACATAAGAACAAATATGGCCATTTTAAATGAAAATGGAGCTGGGGTACCATGGCTCACAACTGTAATTTCAGTGCTTTGCACCTCCCCAAAGAAAGCTTTCCTTTAAAGCCTCTTAAACATTTTTCAGGTGCATGAGGTAAAAGGAACTCTACTAATATCTATGAGTTTGTGTTTGTATAGTTAATATTTTCACCATTAATCAACAGTATATCTTCTGCTTTGATTTTTCTTTGATCTTGTAATTTAATTTTATAGCTCCATGATTTTTAAACAACATTTCATAATTGCTTTCTTAAATTTTTCTAACTTCATTTCTTCATACCTGAGAAATGACATTCAATTTGATCAATTTAGAATTTCTAATACAGAAGAAAATTTCATGACTCTAATTCCAGAAGGAGTCTTTCTGAAAATCAGTTGCAGAGTTTTACCAAAAAGAAACATTTCCATTTCTAGACTTTGTCAAATGTGGTGGGGGGTATAAAAATGTCAAATTTGGGGGGGTATAAAAATGACTACCCGCCGGGCACGGTGGATCACGCCTGTAATCCCAGCACTTTGGGAGGCCGAGGCGGGTGGATCACAAGGTCAAGAGATCGAGACCATCCTGGTCAACATGGTGAAACCCCGTCTCTACTAAAAA